ACACTCCTGTTTGATTAGCACAGTTTAGTTACAATTGAAACGCAAGCACGCACAATCAGCGGAGTTTTTTCTGTATATATTTTTATTAAGAACTTGTGCCAAAATTCGCAGGAAAACCACGCGTTGCAATGATTCTTATAAAAATGCCGCACAAAGTCAATTCCAAACACGAATAAGGAGGGAAGCGAGAACGGCCGAACCGCACACCACGAGAAATTCCAACAGACTGAGATGGAAACAACAAACGATGACGCGCAGCGTCGGCCGCTCTGCTCGCCTCTGCCGGCAATGCCGACGCACAAAGCAGCGCACAGTGGAGCGATGTTTGGTGTTAGGCGTACGATGTGAAATATCAATACGAAGGAATTTACAAATCTTCTGCTGACACTTTAAAAGGAATGAAAAAATGCTTTGCTTAATGCCAATTATAAATATTTACTTTACTAAATAAAAATGATTATTAGGTCTGAAGCACTTGGTTTAACAATTTAGTTGATTCGTTCATATTATTGGTATTGATAAATGATTTAAGAGAAATGATCAACTGCAGTACAGGCCCACTGTGCAAGTGGCCACCTTACAAACGAATGATCGCATAAAAGAGAAATTGCAACAAGCAAGCAAGGCAAGCCACCCGCTCATTCAAGTCGTTTGTTGTTGCTTCTGCTGTCTCTCTCCCACTTTTCAGTTATTGTGTGTGGGCCGGCGTCGCACAGTGGGAAACTTGAGCAAGCTGTCAAGTAAATCTAACTATCTAATGAAATTTTAATTAATAAATAATTTCCTAAAATGTTACTATTCCTAGTTCAAGCTCTTGGCAAAGGGACATTATATTATTGTGAATTTTTTTCAGCTGTCCGATAAGGAATTTATAGTATCAAAATAGATTTTCAAGTAATTTGAAAATTTAATAAGCCGTATGCATGTTTTTATTTGTATTTTATGTTTGTTATGCATTGTAAGTGTGCCGGAATCTTAGCCTGGCAATTGCTCAAATCGGCCCACTGTGGCAAGCTGCGACAGCGGCAGATAGCGAGAGTGGGAGTGGGAAACCGTGTAGGGTGGTTTCAGAGTAGAATTTTCGGACCAGGTCAGTTTGCGTTTGCGACGGCGCAACTTGATTTCGCTGTTGTTGTTGCTGGCTTACGTTTTTTATGCGCCGCTCGGGTTGGTAATGATCTTCGTGCATGTGGGTTGCCGTCGCTGTTGTTTTTGTTGTTGCTGGTGGTGGTGGTGATGGTGGAGAAGGAGGAGGAGGAGTAGGAGGCGACTGCGACTGTTGCGTTCATTAGCGGGGCAGAGGCTTTTTTGGGTTTGGTATATGTTATATGGCCAGAAGGAGGGCGTGCGATACATGGTCCAGGTAGACACATAATGAAGCCACAGTCGAACTCCCAAACGCCGACATTTTACTAATTGAATACGTTTGCTCTTCCCTGAAAGCGAACTCCAACGCTGCGCTCTTTAAATGTTATCATTTTCTAAAGATTGAACTTTGATTCATACATGATTTTTGACTGATTAGTGCAAAGTTCGTGCTCTCGCAGCTTCACTGTATTTATAAACAGAATCACCCACATGGCAGCCTCGATTGGGTGGCACAGCCCGCCGATTTTCGGCGTGGGCTGATTTTTAGCCGCATTCGATTTCGGGTTCAAGACTTGCCATTCAACCTCTGGTTGGCTGGCCTATAAATTGGCTCTATCTCTGATACAGTTGCCTTGCTGGATATGTACATACATATGTATATGCATGACTCATAAATGGGGAACTCCCGGTGCAACAGCAACGACAACTGCATCAAGTCAATGAAATTGAAAGTTTCTGGCAATCAATGGACTCTAGTGCATCTTGGTCACCAAGTTGTTGTTACTGCAGGTTTGCAGGTTGCGATGTCGCTGATTTTGATCGTACTACTCATGTATGTACATATGTATATCCCCCGCAAAAGGAAGACAACGCCAGCGATGTGTGGCTGCAAAAATGCATATGGTGCCACGAGGTGAAGAAGATGCAAAATAACCATTTGGCCAGGCAGACCTGCAAATACGCTACCATTCAAAAGAAGTTAGCTTGTAGGAGCTTGAAACGGTTTTAAGTTCCTTCATAAAGCTGTTATAGCTATGTACACATAATGCTATGTACTGCTCTCTAAGGATCTGCACTTGAAGACTTAAATGTATTTCCCGAAATCAAGTATTAACAAAAGGCGCTCCACAGTCCACATACCTCACTCGCAGGGCATCTGCAAACAGGTTAGCCCTCGAAATGGAGCAGTCCGAGCACCCTACTTTGCCTTCATTGCCACTCAAGTGGAAGTGGCTGGCCGAGGCGATGATGATGATGGTGGTGATGGAAATGGAAATGGAGATGATGATGATCGCGGATAAAGGAGCTGCCTGGGGACTGGAACCGGTTCGCGAGCAGCCGTCAGTGGACAACATGTGGGCCACCTCGAATCCCCCTGAGAGGTTCTTTCGGAGGCAGACCTCACTGGGCCTGGGTGGACCCGTTAGTCCATCCTTGGACCGGTGCAAGCTGTGATATAACCAACAATACCCGTAATGAGCCTGGCCAATTACAGCAGCACATGGCTTCCTACGGCCAGCAAAACCTGTTGCCCCTGAAGACGAAGCCCTTCTTCGGTTTGCTTCACTTGGGAGAAAGTCTCCTCGCTGGAATAGGGCTTCCCATTTTGGGCGCCACTTGTAAAGAGGAAATCTGCCTGGCACTTCTCAAAGGGGTCGAAACTCTTGCACTTTGTCACGTCTCATTTAACTTGGGAACCCCAGGGGTGGTTGTGCGATCACTGGTTCCCACTGTATAGTTCGCTCCCGCCCTCTACATACCTACACTATCCCACATCCCACATGCACAGAGAAAAAGGGGGACTTCGATTGAAGGCATTTGCATACAGTCTATGTGGCTGTTGGTTATAATACATTGTAATAGATTGTTAAAGACCGCTGAGACAGGATTCAAATGAATCAAAATATAGTAGTGCGCACTGGGAGACCTAACTTCTGTCGATCTTGCACACCTTAGTGCAGTTAGTTCTTTTAGATCAAGTGGTTTCTAACATCATTTCAATGGCAATCTGTAGATTTCCGCTGTAGTGGAGATGTAGATTTTTCCATGTGGAGACACCCCTTGTGGAGTGGGCGTGGGACACGGCCACGCATGCGCAACTCCCTCCGAACTCCCAACTCGAGTCCGCTTCGTCTGAGTGGGTGGGTTGTGTGAGTGTGAGTGTGTGTGTTTTCGAGACTGGGTTTGTTTTGAGCATTGGGTTGGGTACAGTCTCCGCTTGGCTTGCCTTGTGGTCGGGTGAGTCACTGGGTCTTGGCCCCCGGGTGATTTTTTCAATCATCATCAGCAGCGTGGGGAGTGTGAATGAAATGAAGTCAACAGGAAATAGTCAGTTTGCGGCTAAGAATAAAAGTCAAATGATCGCTACGCTTTTTCATACTTCCTAAGAAACAAGTTACAAAAGTATATAAAGTTCTTTAGAAATCTAAGAAAACGATCGCTAGTAAGTTGTTTTCAAATTTCAATCTATATCTTGAGGGGTAACGAACTCATTTAGTGTTTGTGGCAAAAGTTTTCCACCCCTTACTTTCCCATCTAAAGGAATGTGCGTTGCATTCTAGGCATTTTCCAGTGCTTGACTTCGTTTAACTCGAGCTTAAAATCAATTTTTGTCGTCGAGTAAAAAGCAATTAAGCTGTCAGTCTATGTAAGCAGCTTCAAATACACAACTAATTTCTATATATAATCCATGGAGACGCCATGAAACGAAATTCAGTTGCCGGTATTCCCCCTACTCCGTACATAGTATTTATTTATATAGGCATAATCCCGGGCAAGTGCAATTCGACTGCATACAAATTGCATTTTCTATATAATATATAAAATATGTGCGTGTGAATATAAACTTTTATATATAAATACATACATATATATATATATATGAAGCACTCGAATGCAGTTATTTGCATTCTGCAGCAGACATTGCCACCCACAAATGTTCACCATATTGCCCATGGCAACAAAAAACCACACATTTTTAGTTTTCATTTGAAAACACCATGCCACAAACGGAATTCGTCAAAGGCAAAATAATCAAATACAAATTATATAACTCCTACATACGTGTATACATATGTAGTCGCATATGTTGCATAAAAACCGAAACCCCAAAAAACCATATGCAAAAACTCCCCCTTTAAATCGAAATGAAAATGCATCTCGCTCTCTTTGGAGAGAGCGCAAGCCTGTGCCGTTATTTTCTATTTTCCCAGAGAGCGCGAGAGTGAACGAACGGAAGTTGAACTCTCGAAAGTGCAACACAATTCCTTTGCACTTTTTTGATAAGGGGTGTGGGTCGCTTTTTGGGTTGTTGGGTGGGTTGCTGGTGGGTTGCTGGTGGGTGGGGTGGTTTGAATATAACAAAAATTGTTATAGACACAAAATTTATGATGTGCTCCGGCTGTGAAAAACAACCACCCACCCAGAAGTAAGGAAACGATGGGGAGAGGGGCGGCAGTTAGTTTTCAAATGCCAAAACAGTTGAGCTATTGTCGCGAGAGCGGGATAGTAATACCCTTCAAAACCAAAACGAGAGCGAGAAAGAGGGTGGGTTGTGCATTGTTTGGGGGTTGCTATACCGTTGCATAGAGCGCCTGCTCCACACACCAATACCATTTGTTTTTATTCCACTGTGTGCGTGTGTTTGTGTGAAGTATTGATGATGGAAAAATAGAAGTTGGCGCTTTTTAGTTGGGGGTTGCTGCCCCCAGTGGGGTGTTTCTCTGGAAAAAGTGCATACCGAAAAAGATACGCACACACACACATACACACACACACACACACAAACGCATTGCGAAAAATCAATAAATCACTTTGGCTTGGAAAATAGATTTGAAAAGGCCCCCCCCGGAAAATCAATTAATAGATACTCGCAGTCCGATAGTTTTAAAATATTTTACCCAGCAACTTACCAACATGTTAGCGGAGATTTTGCAGCCAGCCCCGGAATATGCAACACTTTTTCGCCTCTTTTCGCGCGGCACACTGTTTAGAGGATTTGGGTTTTTCCTTTGCGGCTGGAAATGAATTTACTTCACTGCTTTGTTAAATGAATGCACCCCTGATGCACTTTTCGGTTTTCCGATTTATCCAGAACGGAACGCGTTTCACAACTAACCTCATCAACACTCACACACCGAATGAGATTTCGTGACTGAATGAATATGAATGGTCGCGGAGGAGCGGATCCTACGGCGATTCTCCGCCACCCACTCGTTGGGGGTGGACTGGTGGGCTGGGCGGAAAATATACCGTCCCTCCCCCTAATGGGCCAAGTAAATATGTTGTAATATTTAGTTTTGTTTTTGCGTCTGCGATGCGTTGCTTAGTTTGCTGTTGTTGCCGCGCCGATTGCCTGTCGCGTAATAATAATACCTCTCCGACGTTGTGCAATTGTGGGAAAAGCTTCCTGTCTGCGCCGCCCTGCTTCTTCTTCCGCCACCCCTCCGCTTTTCCGCTTTCCACATTTACAAAAAGCGCGCGCATTCCGCAACGCTCACGCTCCCACGCACAACTGGCTCTCCGGAAAATAAACTGTCATTTGGCTAAGAAAAAATATTATTAATATATTAATAGACTTATTCATTGACTTAAGTTAAGGAGGAGCACATTAAAATAAACTATTTATTTTTTATTTAACACTTTGTGATGGTATTTGGTATCGATAGTGGCTCCGAAAACATCGGAACAATTCCAACATCGAATTCAAAAATTCAGCGCGGAAAAAAGACAACCAACTGAAAATCTCTTTCATTTTAAAAAAATGTCTTTTTTTTTTATTTTTAACGTGAAAACTGATATTAATAAAAAATATTGGGTTTGATGAATTGGAATCGAAAACGTTTGAATATTTTTATTTTCACCGAAGAATTCGTTCTTCAGTGAAAGTATGTACATAAGTCAAGACAATTGTTATAATTAAATCAATAAACAAGAACATACTATATTTTACCATTTTTATTTAAATAATCCAGAAAATACAATTTCCATATATACTTATACTTACTTATTTTTTTGCCAAGTTAGTGACATAATTTTGTTATACTTAAACCAATTCCAAGAGGCTCATAAAGTTTCGTAAAAACTCATGAACACAAAATTTAATTTAATTTTCGATCCTTTTTGAAAATTACATATCCGGTAGCCGTTTTTACATTACATCTTAGATGATACTTACATTTTATTGTTAGCCGTGTCACCAACCCATGAAGAACTGCGTTTGAGCTGTTTGAGAAGTTGACATTCCGATTTCGACAAATGTATGTATATTCGACTATTCGATCAATTATCAATTTCTGTCAAAATCGAGTGCTTTTTAAAATTGAGAGCCATTTTAAAAGCGAAGTTAAAACGTTTTCTTATTTTTTTTAATTTACTAGATCTGTAACTTATGCTTGAACTAATATCTCTCTACCTTAGTTATCATGCTATTCATAAATAACATTGTTCGGCTGACATAGTTCGATGTACCACTTGTATTAAGCGGACCAGTATCATTCATAGAAATATGGTAAATTCATTAAAAAGTGTACATAAGATATTGGTTATAGGACACTACGGACAGAAAAAAGGTTTTCATCTGCAGCTGACCGACTAGTCCAAAATGTGCCACGGAAATGAAAAAGAATTTAATTAAAAGCGGTTAGCGATTGGTATTTTTGCGCAATCTTCAATTACTTTTCGTGGATTTTATGTTTTTAGCCTAGCCGCAAAACCATTCAGTCGAGTGGCAAAACGATTTCAGGTAAAACATGGCTACCACTTAGCCATGACGACGTTCGTTTTTAGATTTTCGTCATTTTTTTGTCCACTTTTTCCGTCACTTGAGGACAGCAATTTTTTTTAGTGGTTCCCGAGTTTTAATCAAATTGCACATGTGACCACATAGTCAGCCATATAACCCATAACCCACACCGCAGACCCCAAAACTCCTTTGCTAACCTAATTTTACAGTTGCCTCTTCAGCTGCACACACACACACAAATACACACACACACATACACGCCAAAATACAGGATTTTTCATCTCCATTTTTGAGAATTTTCTGCAACGTCAACTGTCTCGAAAAGTTTTTAATCAACGTCACCAACAACAAGAGCGTTTTCCTTTTTTCTTGCATTTTTCCTACTTAACTGTTTAATTTTTTGTTCGGTTTTTCGTGTTGCCTTTTTTCCACAGATGGCCTCGATTTTTGTGGATATTTGCCGCATTTTCACCGAAAGCAAATTCAATGCAATTAAAAACAATTCATAATGGGCGAGGCGAGGAGCATTTCCCCCAGTAATTTGTCTCCAGAGCTGGGAAAAAAATAAAAGGTACATGAAAATGAAACTATGGCCCTTTTGGGCGGCTTTGTTGTGCTTTGCCGGTTGGCAAAAATGATTTTTGTGTCCAACATTTGACGGCAAACGGGCCGTTTTGGTTTATGCATTTAATTAAAAACGAATGAGACCCAAAGCCAAAGTCCGAGCCACAATGAAAACGCAGTGAAAACGAATAAATATGAAAGGACTGGGCGACAGGAGCAAGTGCAGATGCAGATACAAATGCACAGTTGCGGATGTAGATACACAGATGCAAAGATACTAAAGTTGCTGTGCTTTGGTTAAAATATGCAAACAAGAAACGGAAAAACTTATTTAGACGCCGCTGCAGACAGCAACAAAAATAAATACATCCATACTATATGTGGCTAAAGAGCCACAGAAGCCAACGAAAAAAGCAAATTGTTTCTTTGGCTGCTTATGAAAATGGCGTCACACACATGCACTTGCGCCAGTGTGTGTGTGTCGCTCCCACGAGCATGTGTATGTGTATCTGTATGTGTGTGTGTGTGTGAGTGGGTGGGAATTGGCTTTTCTTTGTTTTTCCCAAATGCAGCACAATGGGACTTTGAAACTTCGTTCATGCAAATGGCGAACGCCATAAAACGCTTTCAATTAATGGGATAATAAATAAAAAGCTTCGCTGACCAATTTTGTTCATTTTTCCGTTCGGGCTATTATTAATCTGCCTTCTCTTTTGATTAAACTTTCCAATCACGCGTTTTACAGATTATTATTAGGGATATTTATTCAAAACGACGCGATTCATGAACTTGAAATAATAAGAATAGCGTTGATTACTCTGACTCACTGTCAAAATATAGGAAAATGAGGATTGAGGATTTTCTAAATCCATTAAATCCAAGTTTTCATTAAACCTTTGGTTTGTAAAATCATCAAGATTCCTTTTTTGCACATTGATATCTAACATAAAGATATGGCATATCTAAGAACTAGTTTTAAGACTAAATCTTTGAGATCGAGACACAAGTTTTACTGCTAAAGTGCCCTAAAAGATCCCACTGTTCCCAGTGATTGGGACGCTTCGCCTTCCGCTGCTTTTGTACTTATCGCATGTGGCCAAAAGATTTTTGCCCTCTTTTGCCAGTATTTGATTGAAGCTCTTGTTGGCGCTGCCGTAGTATTACCAATGCCTGGAAAACATAAAACTACGAGGCAAAACAAAAATTCTCTCACTATTGTTTGGGGCGCGTGGGAAGCGTTTCCAATGTTTTGTTTTGTTTGGAGAAGAAGTTGCTTTTTGCCGCTTATTTTGTTGCTGGAGGAACTTCAGCCCAATCTGAACCAACCAACTAGCCACCCCCCCCGAAAACCCCCCGCGTGCCCAGCACTCGAATAGTTTTCCCAAACCCCATTTGCAGTGGAAGAAATTATTAATACATAATTCATGTTTAATTGTTCACCATTTTTTGCCGTCTCTTTTTCTGCCGCTTCATCTTCAGACTTTTCGCTTAATTATTCAGCGAAATGAGGAGAATATTTGGCCAGGGAAGCGGCAAGTGGGGAGATGCATCTGCCATTTTGGTCTAATGGCTGCCAAAGTTGATTGGAACTTTCGCTGATTGAGCTGCATTTATTTTGGCCCGATTGCAGCGATCCCCGATGACAGATGGGTTGGCTGACTATGTCGGCAAGGAGGGGGCCATCCGATAGACAGACATTTCAATTAGCCCCAAAATTGTGGCAGGTGCGGGGCTGGGGTGGTGGCACTTTGAGCTGGATTTCGGGTCTTGGCTCGTTGTCAGTTACAGTTTTGCCGCCTGCGGCCAATGAAATTTAGATGAACGGGTTGACGGGTTGAACGCTGCACGATTCACTGCACAAGAAGTACGTGGAAAAGTGGGAAATGCATGGCCTGGGTGGGTTAAACACACTACTCAAACTACACCACCATCCCCCCTCCCCCACACACACACACGGCGCTATATTTTCATTACCGCGCTGCGGGTTCACTAAAAAAGTTGCGGGTGGTCATGATTTCCCCCCTCCACTCGGCGGCACCTCTCCCCTTTGGGCATCGGAAGTGCACTTCTCATTTGCTCATTGTCGGGCAAGGGGGAACGGCGGTTGGGAGGGTGGTGGGGAGGTAGGGGGCACACCGGAACAAAAGGGGGTGCCTAATCACCTTATTGAAGTCACATATGCAACTATGTACTGTGTATTCTGTGTTTCACAAAAGTAGCTTGTGAGGAAAAAGTATTGAAAAACATATTTGTTGCAGTGCAGAAACACAAATATTAGGACTTACTTATCTTTTGAAGAATTAATTTAAATATAGTAACATTTCCAGGTTCAGCTTGTTCTTATACAATCAAGTTATTTCGATATTTCAGAATAGGAATAGTTACCATTCATGAATAGATTCGCTTAAAGCAAAAATGGAAGTAACATTATTCTGAATATGAAAATGTAATTAAATAATTAAAATTAATTACATTCCTATATCAAAATATTCTTTGATAACTAATAACTAACCACATATATTTTTTCATTTATGACTTGAGCTGAATAACTGATAATTTCTTCATGTGTAGTCGGTGCGCGTAGCAGGTTTAAAGTTTCAAGTGCAGCAAAACTAGCGTCCAGTGAATTTAACTCCATGTCGACAGGGAAGTTATTGGCCCTTACCCCTTCACCCCCGCGGCGGACCCCTACCCCCGGCACGGACCATTGACTTCTGCGCACCCTCATGCTTCCGAAAATATTCGGTTTGCTTTTGGAATTATTCAGATTTTCATTTGGTCTATGTGCCCGCGAGTTCGAGTATGTGTGTGCCCGAATATTTTGGTGGTTGCTGAGTGCGACTTAAAAAGATTTCTGTATTTTTGGCTCTCGCTGTGGGTAATTAATTTGTGAAAACAAACGAAATTCGTATTTCATCGCGCAGACAATGGAAATCTAATCGAAACGGGGTTAATCCAGTTCCTTTGTGGTCCTTTTCTATGGAAGATGGAAAAGCGCACGGATTGAGCGCTTAAATCAGATATGAAAAGCCATAAAATCCGAATGAAAAAGATTAGCAAATATATTGAGATATGTAACGGAAATTTATGATAGCTCCAGGCAATTTCAATGAATTGAAAAAACTCATAAAGTTGTGCAACCAGCTTATGC